AAAAAAAAACTCTTATAAAATAAAGAAATGGAAAATTTAATAATACAGGTAGTGCTGATGAAAATAAATTAAAGAATATCACTGCAGCAATTTCTTCCTCTGTCAGAAGACAAAATTCAGGGTCTCCTTCATCCAGCTGATGCCAGTCTTAGATATTTTCTTGCGTAGTTTCGGTCTCTCCAGCTGCCCTCAACAGAGTCTGAACGCCCGCTTGCTCTAATCCCTCTTGCTCCTAAATCCCATGTGTCTTTTGAAGTATGTACTCAACTGTGAACAGAATATTTAATTTCACATATTTTATTCTAGAGTCACTGTAAATAGGTTACTGATGGTTTACTCTATGGAGACAAACACTTTCTATTGCAGCATCTGATCGTAACAATGAAGAACCTGTCCATTACCATCGAGGAAAGACTTCTGCTGAAACTGTTCCTTTTTGTTGGCTACAGCCATCTCAGCCCAGAACAGGAGGATGCTGAGGAGAGTGACTGCACAGTACAACAGATTCTCACTGAAGTGACCTCTGTTCATGCAAAGAAATATTATTTTGGATTGCTCAGGCTTGAACCTGGTCACGTATGTATTGCTTGTTGAGAACCTGCACGTAGCTGTGGGGCCAGTTATTATGATCAGATTCTATGAAACAGCAGTTCTGTTACAGAAAATCGTTAGAATAATGCAGGATGGAAAAATGTTGTCAGTATTTACTTATGAAATTGTAATATCATGTACAAATTGAATGTGTGACATTGCAAATAAGTCAAAATTAATCTGTTTCCCCATTGCCCTCCTGCTTGGCGTCATTGTTGGTGACAGGCTGAGCAGTCTCTTCATCTATCAAGTCTGTACCAACTCGACAGTCGTGATTGGTATTCACCCATTCGTTAAACTCCTATTCACTCATGTCACGAAGTTTTGATGTGACACTGCTGAACTTTGTGACAGCACATTAATCCTATATGTCTAAAGCAGTTGATAGTGTAGATGCCAATAACTTCATTTCAGGCTCTTATTATCATATGAAGTGTGTGTAGGATCATTATCTATCTTGTGGTGTCTGATGACGTTCCAAAGCATCACATATAGAGTGCATGATTCCTTGCCTCACATTTGATCTGTAAAATGTTTTAAGGTCCTTTTAATTCTGAGGTCAAGGGACTGAATCAGAAATGTAATGCTTTGAGGTAGAGAAACTGATTCAGTGTACTGTAAGTTTAAATTTGGATGAGCTGGGTGGTTGTCCAAAATTGATGCAGTTTTGTTCCTTTATCCTTCCCCAGTCATGTTCAACAGGTAGATTTTTAACTCCTGTACACATTTACACATTTACACATGTGCATGTGTGCGCACCCAAAGGCCTCATTTTGGTTGTACCCATCATGTTGCATCTCAAGAGAGCTGTAATTCTTTTTACTCTTCCCTGGAGAAGCAAAACATCCTTTAGCGATCCTTGGGGTCTCTGTGGCATGACACCATTTCATAACTATTAAGTCTTTAATACAGTTTGTATTAAAGTAATACAGTTTAAATTTGGATGAGCTGGGTGGTTGTCCAAAATTGATGCAGTTTTGTTCCTTTATCCTTCCCCAGTCATGTTCAACAGGTAGATTTTTAACTCCTGTACACATTTACACATTTACACATNTGTGCATGTGTGTGCACCCAAAGGCCTCATTTTGGTTGTACCCATCATGTTGCATCTCAACAGAGCTGTAATTCTTTTTACTCTTCCCTGAAGAAGCAAAACATCCTTTAGTGATCCTTGGGGTCTCTGTGGCATGGCACCATTCCATAACTATTAAGTCTTTAATACAGTTTGTAGGCTGCTGAGCCATCTGAGTCTTGCTTCTCTACATCTTATTGATTATCCATTGGTTGCTTTAAACCATTTTTTCAATGTTTCACAAAAATCATTTGTTTTCTTATGCTGAAATGCTGTAGCTTATAGAAGTGTTCATTGATCTGGCCTGTCCTGAAGCAAACCAGCAATAGTTAATAGATGGTAAGCCTCTTCCATTTGTGCATCCCCTGCCTGTTTGCACCCGTCCCATTATTGTTCGGTGTGCAACAAGATTTTGACAGTTTTGGTAATAATGGCTGAAAGCCACTGCACTTCCAACTTCAACTTGCCATATCTGTCTGTAAGGTACAGCTTTTCTCTTGCACTCATATCTGTTCTCCTCACTCATTGACATTTTTATAAAACAGGAGTGAGGCATTAGCACTGATAGACTGCAGGTGTGCTCTGGCAACCAAGTTCTGAGTACTTGTTTACAGACAGAGTGGTAGAGACAGTGAGACTGGAAAGGCAGAATGGTTGGCAGCATAGAGATGTAGAAGTAGCAGGTAAAAGCAGTTATTGGGAGCAAGTATGAACAGCACAGAATCCATGTAAATAGAAGTCATTTAAGATCACCCACCATTCATGATGTCACTTTCTAGAGTACAGCAGTAGGAAGCCAAGGTTGGGGCTGGCTGGTGAATCTGTAGATCACTTGTTAGGTGTGCTGTTCAAACAACATTACCCACTCCACATATATATATTGTACTTAACACACTTCTAGTTCTGTAAGCAAATCCCTGTTTTAAATAAGTGACAAAAATATTGTGACATGATGCCTTAAGGCAGAATGGCAGGGCCCAGTAAACACAGTCTCGCAGCAACAGATATGAACAGAACAACAGAAGAACTGTGAGAAGCAGTGCTTTCTATGTGGTTCATGCCAAAAAGGACCAGTGGGGCAGGTCAGTCAGAGGTTGGCAGTTGGCAGCTGATTGTGAGTGAGCAGTGACAAAAGAATCCCCATTGTTAGAAGCTGCTGCCTAGCAACAACTGGTGAAGACATAACACACTGAGAAGACTTAGTGTGTGCTATAATGAGGATGTCATAGTTATTTGTTGTTATGAGTCATAAGTGTTCAAGAAATCCAATTATCAATCCAAACCCCATATCTGGTCACTAACAGGTGAAAATATTTTTTACTCTATTCTTATAAATTCTTTTCTACTAGCAAATTGTTGCATTGACCTAGTACCTACTGCACTTTTCTCTGTTTAATTGGAACTACTTAGGTTCTTCTTTATGGGACATCCTGTTTGGTCATGCAACCATTGCAGTGCTATCTTATTTTAGGTTGTCTTTCATGTGTATTGATAAGAAAGATAGATTCTTTGAACAGAGGAAGACCACAGAAGGGAACAATACCTGGCAACTGTTGATAACAGGATGAAGTACTAGCTCAGTCTAGACATAGATTTCAAAATTTTTCAGACATAGTAGCCAACCTCGGCTCAGAGACAATGACAGTCAACAGTAGATTATGCACCATGTCCTGGCAGATGGAGAAGTTGAGAAAAGTTGCATACATTCTTATGCTCGGTAGTGAACTGTCAGTTTCACCCATAGAAAAGGAGATCCCAGATGCATGCTCCACTGCTTTCGTGATAATTTCAGTTTAGATTTAAATTGTTCCTTCATATTTCTAGAATGCTTTAATCCTTACAGTGACAGTGTTGCTGAAATGAATGGTAGATAAAAATGCTTTTAATGGTGGTGCCACTGATCAGTCCTTTATATCTTCCATTTTGATTGCCGCATGGAAATGGTAGAAACTATAAGCTACGTGAAGACTGGCCGAAGCATATTGTGTTGTACCTGAAGATGACATCTATCTGTCTATCTAATCTGTCTGTCTGTCTGTCTACCTCTCTTTCTATCTCTCTGTCTGCCTGCCTGCCTGCTTGTCTATCTACCTACCTGTCTGTCTATCCATCTATCTCAGGATAGCGCATACGGTGTAGTAACTGGCTATGAACTGGACGGCCGAGGGCTAAGAGTTCGAGGCCTGGTAGTGGCAGTATTTTTCTTCTCTCCACAGTGTCCAGACTGGGTGTGGGGCCCATGAAACCTCTTATCCAATGGTTACTGAGGGCTGTTTCCCTGGGGTTAAACCACTCACCTCCAGTTGTTGCCAAGGTCAAGAAGAGTGGACCTATACATCCACTCCCCATATGTCTTCGTGGCATAATGCTTAATTAGTTAAGCACAGGGACAAATTTACTTGCAATCATGTACCATTCCAATGTCTGCAAATGCCAGGTCATTGGAGATTGGCATTGAGTGGGTCAGGGTTCAGGAAATGTATGTATGCAAAATAAAATACATTCAGATTTTATATAATGATGAATGTATTTATGGATCTGGTTTGATTGGAACAATATTAATATATTTCTTCTGAATTCTCTCACCCTACAGCTTTGTGTGTCATTTTCTTGGATGTAATCACCTACAAAAAATGGTTTTCCTAGTCATTATCATCCAGAATTACAGGAATTCAATCCCCCACTACCATGGCAGCCAGATTTTAATTGGGGGATAATGACATTTGTATTGAAGAAGCAAGACACTAGTCCACACACTTGCAATGGTAGTGTGATGCATGGCTAGTAGATGTTAAAGTAGATTCAGTGCTTAAACTGGCATGGGATTGTATGTCACACACCTCTTCCTCTAACATGTTCCCTGCTGTGATTTAGCCGTTCAGTTGTTTCTGACAAGACGCCTCACATAGCATTTATGACTTTGTGTAATTTGGTATCTTGTGACATTCTGTTCTGCCCATAGGATTTTTGTTTGACTGTGTGATCAGACTCTGAAATAGTGTCAGATTCTTTTTGAAGGAGCTAGGAATTGTATGCTTCTGTTGAGTATACTGGTTCATAACAACTGAAAAATGGTATGTGAAATGTAAAGAAGTGATGTGAGGTTTAATGTTCTCTTGGCATGGACTGTTTTGTGGGACATGATGCTGTGCAGCCTTTAGGAGACAGTGGGTTCCTCTGCACTGCTGGCAACAGTCCACCAGACTACACATTATCATATACCAGAAGACATTTACTTGTTTTAAAGCAATTAAATTTGCGCAGTTTTGGTGCCAAATATGGAAACAACTAAAATCTTACTTAAAATGTTGAAAGGTCAGTGAGTCAGGTGTCATTTTAAATGACATGTCAGAAACCAACACAAGCATTTTAATCCCCCATTCCTCATTCCCTTGTGCTTCTACAAAATGTATGCCACAAATCTATACCTATTTCTATTTCTCACAGCTTAAGCCTGATCTAGGAAGGTGATTTTGAATGTGTGGTTTCCTTACAGGTAAAATTGAGTGTGGTGACATCCAGCAAGTTGCCAGCACAACTGCAGTCCATCAAGAGGAAGCTGGGGCTCACACTGATCAAATTTGAGGATGCATCAGTTGATCTCAAACCATTCGTCAAGAATCATTCATTTGAAAGCAGCAAATTCTTTTTACATTCCATTCTAAAGCATTACAAAGATGTAAGTAATATGCCTATAACAAACAACTTTCCTTCCCTACCCCTTTCATGACAGAACATTTGAGAGGAAGTTCACTATTTGCATGGGGTTACTACAATTGCTATAGTGTCAAATAAATATGGAATTCAAAACCAAAGAATCAACACTATACTTAGCAAAAATCAAACACTGCACTTTGAAGAGTAACAACATTTAGGTAACCTTTAGAAACTGAGCTATGTGTGATAGGCTTGAAAGCAGTCTGTTAGGTACAGTGAAACTTGGCACTGTAGGTTACATATCTTTTATCTTCCTATTTTCCAAGTTTGATGCATGCCAGACATCTTGTCTGTGGTCCACATTACTTCCCAGAGGGAGAAACTTTGTCAGTGAATATCTCTTACTCTTTCAGAATCACATAATATGTCTTCTGTTTGGCAGTGACCAGTTGCTTTACACTCAAGTGTCAGTAGTGTCAGTAGTGCCAGTAAAGCTTTGTTGCCAAATTGAATGTCACTTGTTTAATAGGATGTCCACTGTTTTCCCTGTAAGTTTTGAGAGCTGGCCTGTCTCAGTCACTATAGATACTGAAGACTGGAAGACAAAGAGATGAGGGTTTGATTCTCAGCAAGGCATATCTTCTCAAGTTTTAATTTCAGTGTTTTGATAGGTAGAAATTATAACATCATTTCATTTGTCATGCCACTTCACCATTGTCAGTGGTCCACAGAGCTGGGCACTTCACTCTTTGCCGTTTGGCATCGTTGACTGTCTTTGGAGCACCATTCCTGTTAATTTTTAGACTTTCTTGTGTTTTGGCAGACTGGTCAAAGCTGGATGGTTGTAAGAATTATCCTCCATGCTAGCAAGGGTTTGACAAATGAAGAATGATGGCTGTTGTTTTGTGCATGTCGCTTGTTATGAGAGATGGTTAAATGGTTGTCTTCAACCATACCTACTGAGAGAGACCGTAAACATCCTGAACAAGACACAAAATTCTCAAGTTGCTGTGGCAGTTGTAGCTATTTTAAGAGATAAATCTGTTTGGAACATGAATGTTCCTTCTGTAATGTAAGGGATCTATCTGCCAGATGTTCTGACTGGGAAGGAATAGGCTTCTGTAGGACCTCCACAGTTTGCTTTGTTGGTGTTGTCTGGGACATGTAAGAATTTCATTATTAGTTCAGACACATTTCTTTAAAAAGTATGACCAGTGAATGGACTTTCAGGTACTGTCATTAATGATAACAAAATTTGTTTGAAAGGAACTGAAGTGGCAAGCAGCTAGCATCTTGGGGTCTGTGGACTTCCTTGGCAGTCCTCTGGGCTTTGTCAATGATGTGACAGAAGGAGTGTCTGGGTTGCTGTTCGAAGGGAATGTTCAAGCCTTAGTCCAGAATGTGACTCATGGCCTCTCCAACTCAGCAGCCAAAGTGACAGGTAGGCATTCCTGCCGTGGTTTACTGTGCTCATGTTCATGAGTAGGACACATATTCTGATAACTCTGTTGTCTGTAGCATGGCACCAGATGCTCTCCACAGTTTAGAATCACATCATCAGCAGCAGAATATTGCAGTTATCTTTCATCATAATCTCCTACCATCATTTCAATTTTAAATACTCAAGATGTATTGTCTTCTGTAATTAAAGATACTTTTGCAAATAGAATCCTACTCTTGCAGGAACACCATGACAGTTATGTGTTTTATTGCTGAAAGGGGAAGATTGCAGCGATAAAAGACAAGTCATCATTCACATCATTCACTGTAAACTCCAGTTTCTTTCAGAAGTATCCCCAGCACACATTACTGTTGTAACCAGAGTTCAAATCCTGTTGTTGCCAGAACATCTCTGAATGGCTCTAGTTCATTACCAAAGCATTTCTTGATCCATGTTTATATAAACTGATTTCACTGTTTTGGGCCAGCAATTTTCTATTCTTATTTCAGGTACACCTACGTAAGTATATAATAGAAAATAATCTGCTTCAGTATTTTCTGTTGTGTCCTATACTGTAACTCAGCACAAATGGATAATACATTTTATTTCAGTGTATTGTTTATGGAACAACAGCGTGAATAGCTCAGATTGTATAGCATTGAATGTGGGATGTGAGATTTAAGGCTCTTACAACAGTGACTGTAAGATTGAAGTCTTGGATATGACACCATGTAGTTTAGTAGAGTTCTGTGGGAACATATGGCATCTATCTGCAGTGAAGTTTCCTCCAAAATGTTAATGCTGTCTACCAGACTTCATGGTGTCACACCCAGAAGACCATAATCTTCAATGGTGGGATGATTACTAAATAATAAATCAAAGATTGTATGGAAGACAATTGTCATGCCTGATTTGTGGTATATTCTCTCTTCGTGAAGGTAGTGAGGCAAACTACAGGAACCTCAGTCAGGACAGTTGGTTTCTTAATTGAGATTAGAACCTGTAAGATCCCGAATATGAAGCAGCAGTACTGCCCATTCAGTCATAATTCCCAGCCCACAAGTGAGAAAGAATTAAGCATGTTATCATGTTATCATTTATCATCATTCAACAATCCATACATACAGGTATTACAACCATTTGGATAAGGAAATTGTCAGTTTTACATCTAATTCTCGTGCATATCTTTACAGTATACCCTGTACCACCCTAATATAGGGGCTTTTTTGTCTGAATAATATTATAGATCTAGTTACCATTAATTTCATTGTCTTTACACAAATACAACAAATTAATCAGCTATATATTACATGGACTTTGATACAAGATGCCGAGCAGTGCGGTTGTGTCAGTGTAGCACTCTGAGGACTCAAGTGTTTATAGTGAATAAACTCAAGAAAACGATCAAACAGAACAAACACGCTTGTGATCTATGCCAGCGAGAAAACATCTCTACAAAAACAAAAAAACAAATATATACAGAAAAAAAAAAGCTCGCAACATCTATGTACTGGAATCTCCAAACACCAGGTACAGTAGTAATGTAAACATCCCAACAGTGCAATAATGTACTCTGTAAATATCCCATTAGACCCCAGCTATACAATATGCAATGCTCAAAACCAAATCCACTACAACACTAACTGGCCTCCAATAACCCCATCCCCAACTACTTTTCCTCCTACTCTACCACCACCACAAACCCAAAATCCGCAAATGCAATCAGCTCCTCTCTTCTACCCCCCACCAGTTCTCCAACCACCACAACACACAAACCCCAACAACTCAACCAACATTAGAGGACAACACATACAAAAAATGTCATCATCCAGTGAAGATGACGAAAACATCGAATACAACAGCAACAATGACTGGCAAAGAATCATAAGCCCTAAGAGGAAACGAATACTGAAGCACCACCCACCCGCTTCAAATGACACCACGACAACAAACCGATTCAACCCCTTATTAAACCAACCTGAAACCCCAAACAGGGACATCAGTATGACTCTGAAAATAGCCAAACCACCACCAATATTCATCCATGGTGTCCAAAACTACTCAGAAATGATAAAACACATCCAACAAATTGCCGAACAAGAACAATACATCACCAAAAGCCTAGCAAATAACATAGTCAAAATAAATTGTGAAACCCCAGAAACATACAGGAAAATGGTGAGAGAATTCAAAACACAACAAATCTACTACCACACGTATCAACTAAAAGAAGACAGAGCATTCAGAATTGTGATACGCTAACTCCATCACTCCACTAACATTGAAGACATCAAACAAGAACTTGCAGAGCTGGGGCACAGAGTCAGAAACATAATCAATATTAATCACAAATCCACCAAAGAACCGCTAAACCTGTTCTTTGTAGATCTAGAACCAGCCTAAAATAACAAAACCATCTATGACATAACAGGACTTCTAAACAGAATTGTAAAAATTGACCCTCCGCACTCTAACAAAACAAACATCATACAATGCACCAGATGCCAACAATATGGACACACAAAAGCCTACTGCAATCAGCCATATGTCTGCGTCAAATGTGGCGGATCGCACAAAACTATGGACTGCAAGAAAACAAGGGACACACCAGCCAGATGTGTGCATTGCGAAGAAGACCATCCAGCCAACTACAGAGGCTGCGACCACTACCGCAAGCTAACCAAAGGCCTCACTAGCCCAATACATCAAAAAATTACCACCACACCTATCTACTGAACCGAAAGCTATGCGAGAAATATTCCAGCACGAGAACCATCATCACCCAGAAGCTACGCAGACGCTACAGGACACAACTCAACTCCGCCAGAAGAATCCACCCACATACTCGTAAAATTCCTAGACGAATTCAAAAACCTACTACAACAACTACTGCAACAAAATACTATGGTACTAAATATGATCACTACACTCATCAACAAAATACATTAAATGTTCAAATTTCTAAGAATTGCACAATGAAATGCCAACAGCCTACAAAATCATCAAGAGGAAATAAAAATATTCTTAAAGATAAATGCTATAGATATTCTCCTAATCAGCGAAACCCATTTCACCGACAAAAGTTATATCAACATACCAACATACAAAACCTACCAGACCAACCACCCCGACGGCAAAGCGCATGGAGGAACAGCAATCATAATCAAAGAAACTATAGATGATTTCGTCTTACAGAAGTACGAAGAGCCACACATCCAAGCTTCCTCAATCAAAATCACAACCTTCCCATACCCCTTCACCGTTTCCTCCCCGATTCAATCTCAAGAAAACCCACTATGAGACCTTCCACGCCATAGGGAACAAATTTATAGCCGGAGGTGACTTCAACAGCAAACATACCTTCTGGGGATCAAGGCTCACCACCACAAAAGGAAGAGAACTACATGCAACAATTACTGACAACAACTACTCATGCATATCTACTGGCTCTCCGACATACTGGTCAACAGATAAGGAAAAAATTCCAGATCTACTGGACTTCATCATAACAAAGGCATTTCCCCATCCTACATAAAGATCACCGGAAGTCTAGATCTGACCTCCGACTTACTCCTATCATAGCAACAATAAGCACAACAGTACTCCCAAAAAAAATCCAAGCCCAAGCTCCACACCTCCAAAACAAATTGGGAACTATTCCGACAAATCATGGACACCAACACAATACTAAACACCAAACTGAAGGACCCAACTGACATAGAAAGAGACTACAAACATTTCATAAACCTATTACAAGAAGCAGCCAAAACGGCAAGCCCTACATTCCAACATACCCCCACCCCTAACGACATCCCAGTAAGGATAAAAAAATTAATTGCCGAAAAAAGAAGAGCAAGATCACACTGGCAAAAAACCCATTCCCCGGAAAGCAAACTAAAGTTCAACCAACTCAGCAACAAACTAAAACTACAATTACACGACTTAAGGAATACATCTTTCGAAAAATATCCCGCAAACCTCTCCAGACAAGACAACTCTATCTGGAAACCCATACGGAACAAAAGGCGACCAACATGAGTTACCTCACCAATACGTAAGTGCACGACTCCTCCAAGCAAATGGGCAAGAAGCGATCAAGAAAAAGCTGAATTGTTTGCAGAACACTTACAAGAAGTATTCACCCCCCAGGACAACCTACCACTACAGGAAGTAGACTCAATGCTCAACGAAACCATGCGAAGACCTAAACAACCAAAGCAATTCATGCTAAAGGAGATCCACACAGCAATAAACACACTAAAACCCAAAAAAGCCCCAGGACTGGACCTCATCACCACCAAAATTCTAAAACAACTGCCAAAAAAAGGACGACTCAAACTCCTATACCTTCTCAACGCTATTCTCCGATTAAACTACTGGCCCCTCCCGCTCAAAACAGCCCAAATCATAATGATATTAAAACCTGGGAAAAACCCAACCGACGTCTCCTCATACCGACCAATAAGCCTCCTATCAATAATAGCAAATCTCCTCGAAAAACTATTGCTCAACAAAATCAACCAAGATTCAGATCCAATAAGCTGGACCCCAGACCATCAGTTCAGATTCCGCAGAGCGCACTCAACCACTCAACAAAGCCATCGCATCGCCAATACCATATGTCAAGCACTGAACAAAAACCAATACTGTACTGCAGTATTCCTAGACATAGCCCAGACTTTCGACAAAGTCTGGCATCCAGGTCTACTCTTCAAAATGAAAACACTTCTCTCATCATACTACTTCCCTTTATTACGCTCATACTTAAGCAACAGAACTTTCGTAGTTAAAGTAAACAATGAACAATCAAGATGACTAACAATCCGCTCAGGCGTACCACAGGGAAGCCTGCTGAGTCCCTTCCTCTACACGCTCTACACCCACGACCTCCCCACATCCCATAAAACACTCGTAGGGACATTTGCAGACGACACGGCTATCTTCGCCACACACGATAATCCAACCACAGCAGCAACTAACTTACAGGACCACCTCATACTCATAGAAAAATGGCTAAAAAAAATGGAAAATCGAAGTTAATGAAGCAGAATCCATTCAAACAACGTTCACGCTTCGAAAAGGCAGATGCCCCCCCGATTCAAATAAACCACACTACCATCCAACAAAAAGATCAAGCAAAGTATCTCAGACTTACCTTTGACAGCAAGCTCAACTGGAAACAACATATCCTCATGAAAAGGAAACAAATGGATCAAAAAATCAAAGACCTATACTGGCTCATAGGAAAAAAATCACACCTATCTATTGACAAGCTGCTAATATACAAAACAGTCATCAAACCAATATGGACATATGGAATCCAACTCTGGGGATGCACCAGCAAAACAAATATAGATCTCGTCCAACGAACTCAATCAAAAATTCTTTGTCTCATAGTAAACGCACCATGGTACGTGTCTAACCACACCATTCACACTGACCTCAAAATTCCATACGTCACAGAAATCATCAAAGAACACATCATCAGACACTTCAGCAAATTAGCTAACCACACAAACCTACTGCTCCAGCCACTTTTACTGCATCACGACCACAGAAGAATTGGACAAAAGTGGCCAGAAGATCTAAAGAGCTGAGGGACGCGTCGATGGAAGTGACCCACTCAAGCCACTGAAGTGTACAATTCCTAACTAATTGTACACAAGACAGCAAATTGACTGAAAGATTGTAGTATCTGATTGTCAATAAAGGAGAGAGAAAATATATATAATACATTTACACACTTGAAAATCAAAAGACATAAATTCATCTACAGAATAAAAGGAATGTTTCAGCAAAAAAGATTTTAATTCCTTTTTAAATTAGTTAAAATTTTTCCTTTGTTTTATTTGATCGGGGACCTTATTATACAAACTAATTCCCATATTTATCACACTCCTCTTAAAAGAGCTGTATTACAATGCTGTACGTGAAAATTTAATTTTCTTCGTGTGTTATAATTAATGTCCAAATTTATTGCCATAAAAGCCTTGTATTTTTTGATAAAGCATGTCACCTCCAATATATACAGAGAAGGCAATGTTAAAACATTGTAATATTTAAAAATTTGTCTACATGGAATTTTGCCAAATATGTGCAGAGTATTCTTAATGGGAGGGTAGACTGAAGAGAAGCAGATCTACAGGTATGCTTCAGTGTCAAGCAGGAACTCTTGATACTGTGTTACATGCAATTGCCTCAGCGTTGTTCATCCTCTAACATGTCATGTAATTTTCGTCAGAATCCTTGTCAGATGGCCTTGGTCGAGTAATAATGGATGAGCATCATGAAGAAACAAGACAGCGAATCCGCAAAATCCACACTGGGAACAGCAGTGATCACATTGTGGCAGGGCTGAAAGGTTTTGGTTTCGGTTTGCTAGGTGGAGCAACCAGCATCTTCAAACAGACCTATGAGGGAGCCTGTACTGAGGGATTTCAGGTAAACAGTGTTCATAGAATCATCTCTCCTCAAGTAACTCATGTAAATATACAGCTAACTGCAGTATGTGGTGTGCCAAGCAGACATTTAATCTAGAGATTCGTTAATGTTTTCAGAGAGTGATATTCTGATGTTGTTCAGTCCACATCATCTGCACATCTTATTTCTGTGTTCTCTCTTATAAATGAGGTTCCCTTACAGTAAACTTATAAAAGTCAAAAAGTATTGAAATGTTCTGTCTTCTGGGATATCATGCCATATAGTCCAGTGAAAGTCATCCAACATTTTTGAGGAACATAATGCCTCCATCTTCACAGTCAAAAAGTAAGCAGGCTCTGCTGGTGACCTGCTTCATGTTGGTTTCTTGCTTGACTTTCACTGCACTGTACACCATTAAATCCTACAAGCTGAACTCTCCATAACCACTGCTGTGAGACCTCAGATCCAGTTTAAAAGCATTTTGATTGAAACGGGGGTGCCACTGTGTATACCCACAATATATGGTCCTCACTCAGCTGTCATCAAATGGTGTGTTATGAATCATCACTGTGTTCAGAAGAGCTCACAGAAGGATCCTGTAAGATCCATTTTATTTTTTCCACCTCATATACACCGAAATCTCAAAATTTTGCTGTTCCCATGGGATATTTGAACCAAAATTCGAAATGCATTTTGTTTCACCATACATCCTTACGTGCCTGTCTCATTCAACTTTCTTGATTTTTTGAACAAATGTTGAGCTGCCATTGTGAATTGAAGTAAATTGTCCAAAACGATGTGGTGATATGTTAAAGGGATGGCTGACTGCCTTCTAGTACTTGAGGGTAAAGTACTGAGTACTTGTCTTGTGGACTGAGTGTGAGGGAGAGGCTGGCCCTGTGCCAGTGTATGCACCTGCATCATAATTTTTTGTTTCCAGACCCCACTCCCCTCTTCCCATCTCTCCTAACAATGCGAAGTGCCTGGTCCACTCACGAAAGTGCAGGATCCAGGGATTCTGAAGTGTGAGGAACTGGAGGGGGGATGTGCAGACACACTTGGCACAGAGGGCACACCCTGAAACACAGGTAGTCAGTTCAGTGTTTGAGTACAGGGAGCAAATTAGTGAGTGCAAGAAGACAGTACTGTGACGTAAAGTGAAATCATGGTGGACGTAACAAGCCAAGGTGAAGATCATAAATATGGCTATTGATTAACTGAAAATAACTTATCCAAAGTGAGGTAAATATTAAAATATAGAACTGGCAGATGGATAGAGAAAGTTACACAAGTTTCACGACTACTCTTCACCAAACATTATCAGGCTAATAAAAGTAAGGACACTCAAACTGATGGGGTGCGTGGCAGATGAGAAATGCATAAAAATTTCACTGAGAGATCCTAAAGGGAAGAGATCACTTTGGAGACCAGGTTATAGGCGAGAGTGATAATATTAACACTTACCTTAAAAAGATATGCAGATGTGGATGAGATTCATCTGGCTCAGGGTGATTCCAGTAGTAAGCTTGTGTAAACACAGTAATAAACCTTCAAGTTTTATGAAAGATGAGGAATGTGTTTATCAGTTAATTAACTGTCAGCTTCTCAAGAAATATTCTGTTGTGCAAAGTGAGATGGTTTCATGTCAACCATGTAGGCAAACCCACATTTACATATTTCATCCTTGTCATTATGACAGTTGGCTCCATAAAAGGTAAAAAGATAAAGCTATTCCTGTAATAGGCTATGGAGGCCCATAGGGTTGTGTGACATCAAGGCTCCTAAATTTTTCTGGACATTTGGCTCACATATGGTGGCGAGATTGTCAGCCATATGTGCCAGCTGCCCTTACCCCCAGGAAGATTCCTGTACTCATTTCTGTTATAGGCTGATTCAACCCCAGGGCCATAGTGTAGCTAAGAGGATTAGGTTAGTTGAGAAATGCGATGAATCAAACTGACGGCCTACCAGACATTAATTTACAATAGTCACTTAACATCTCCCACATCAGATGTAGAGCTTCCAAGGCATCTAGAAGTTATAGTATCTTGTTGGGCAGCCACGTCAATTTGGAGCAGAAGTGCAATATGCCAGATGCTATCAGTGCCACTGTGATCATTACCTAATGATGGCACTAGATTCTGCACTTAGTGCTGAGTTGTGCACAACAGTGGAGTGTAGAAGCCTGTGCCATTCCCTGTAGGAATCCTGCTTTGTAGCCAGTTTGCCAGTACAGAAGTTTTGCATTGGTCTGTTGCTTACAATGCTAAATGAACACAACGACCAGTAGCACTTTGAAACAAGTGAGGGAATTATAATTTTTGGTGTCTCCCAGGAGAAAGCTTCATAGCTCCCTGGGAGGCCACAGTTTCCACTGTGGGACACACTGCCCTAGACCATCTGAATACATGGTGCATACACAATGTACCACAGATAATGGACAGTATCTAATGTAACAAAGTCTCACATGTTTTCTCGTAGGGTCTCATTTCTGGTTTTGGCAAAGGACTGGTTGGTACAGTCACAAAGCCCATGGTTGGTGTCCTGGACCTTGCCTCAGAGACCGCCAGTGCTGTCAGAGATTCAAGCCGAAGGTACAGTATGCCACGGACAGTGAAAGTTACACAATCTTGCTACTGTTTTATTCTGATTTATGGGGAGGCTTCTGCATGTTATGCATGACCAAGAAGAGGTACCCCTCTTTGTCCAAGAGACAGGCATATCTCAGTGATGGGATACACAGCAGTTTATTCTCATAATTGTATCTCTTTGCAGGGCCCTAAATCTTGGTACATGCCTCGTGTCTATGGAGACTAATCAGAGTCATGTGGTTTTCATAGCAATTTCCAGTCATTTGTGTTGTGGGTGGGCACTCAACTCTGCCAGGTTGGTTTACCATGGCATGGTGCCAAAACCCCTGCCACCTATACTGAAAGCTAGACATGTACATTCAGTAATAATAGATCTGTTCAGCGAGTTAGGAAATGTACACATAGCAAAACCATTCTGGTGCATTTGCTCCCTTTTGTTTAATTATCTTGAGAAACATTAGAGAAATGGAAGAAGTACAGTAAGCAGGAAGTGGGTGTTTTGTTTTTCTCTACAACTTTTGTTCAAGACATTTTATGCTCTGAGAAATATTTAACTAGCTATGCTCAAGTTTCACACAGACATAAGCAAAATCCAGTGCCCATTGTCATCAAAAATCCATGCAACACACACTGTATCGAGTATGGGAGCTGTTACACTGTTCACTGCACAGTACAGTGATCACTCATATAGACAAACATTTCGGTGCTGTTGGTTGGCAATACACAACATATGTCATGCATATATGGTGAAACCCTGATTTAAGGTTTGTCTGCCAGACAAACTTTTGTACTTTAAATGGGGGGGGGTTGCAAATCAGAGCTTAAAACAACTGTTAGACTTAGTTAAATGAGGCACTGAACCATGTTCATTTAATAATACAAAAAAATTCTTCTCAGAATGTGTCCCACACCAACTTCCCGCATTCAAGAATTAGAGATTCATGTAGAATCACATCACTTAATGATGATGGAGGTAGCACAGAGTGCTTCACAATTTCATTTCACAACACTGTAGAAATTAATTTCCACCTGCTGAATGCTTTTCAGCTTCTGCCCTGTTGTTAACTCCCTCACTTTCAATATAGAGGCCATTTATTACTCTATAATTACTTCCAAAAAAACTGTGACACTCAAACACAATACAAAAAGGAGAAAGAGTAACCACTTCCAACTGGCACAGAAGATGAACAAAGAATGGGCATACCACATTGCTTGCTTGCAGATGATGACCTTGAACTGTGGAAGGGTGGCCACATGAGTTAGGACATGCAGAAAAAAACCTTAACTATAAAACAAGATCTGAAGCATATATATGAATCGAAGTTTCACATGTAAAATTTAGGGAGACCCTTAATTTGATAAATGTTAAACTGAAGAAAATAATACATTAGGCACATGGAGCTTTGGCTGGGACCACAAGAAATGTGCCTTAATGTGGGAAAATGCAAAATGCAGGTCCCTTAGATCTTGGTTTCACTGTACCATGCTGCCATCTGGCCACAGTGGTAGTTGAACTTCCACATACTGAATACAGACTTGCATTTGTCAAATTTAATTGTTAATGAAAGGTAAAGTATCAACTTCAAATCTTGGTAGCACCATTTTAAAACGTCTGCAGCACCCAGTATACGAGTAAGAATCATGTACATACTTGATACTGTTCTTCTAGTTTCCATATATGAACTGCTATTTTTCAGTGTATGCAGATGTTTCTGCTATTATGTTGACCAAGCATGTTATAAACGGGAGTAGGCAGGATAATAAGAGTGCATGTACCTGCTCACATCTGTCATACAGTGTATATTTTTTTCAGTTCTACCCGGGTGGCACCAGGACGGTTCCGTGCACCTCGCTGTGTCACTGGCCCAGGTGGGCTGCTGCCCCCATACTCAACGCAACAGAGTCAAGGCCAGGAGTTCCTTTACAGCATCAACAAGCAAAACTACTCTGAACTGTAAGTCAGTCATATTACTCAACTGAAGTTTCCCTGTTGAGGTAGGTTGGTCCTTGGATAGCAGGTGTCTGAAGTGTTCTTTTCCTTAATTTTGGCCTTACGCAATTTTCTTTAATCATCTATATCCTTGTGTAATCATCTCTGTCTTCATCCTCACTGGTCTCCTCTGTATGCTGAACTCTGCACTGCACACTGGTCTGGCTGTTTCTATTGGTGACTACAACAGCAACTATCATCATCTTCCTCTTCTAGTGTTATTTATTTCTGAGTGTTTTTGGTCACCTTTAGTTGTTAAACTCCTGTTTCACGTTAAGGGTTTTCCCTAGCTCTGTGGTGCTGTCCTACAGTTCCAACACAGCTTCCAACCTGTGCGTTCCTACAGGGAACTCAAGATATGAAAGTTCATTGTACCCTTAGTACCTCCCTGTGGGAGTCAAGTTATGGAGCTCAGGCCCTAAGTCATGTACACTCACATAGTGCCTTGTTGGGGCACCCATGACTGTTGGTTTTGCTGTGCTGTTCTGTCATGTTACCATTGACTGAGAGCTGCAGTTTAACCACCCACAGGTCCCCTGAAACCATAGACGCTTGTGTGTGTATATGCATAAATCTGCAGGGTTTATAGTGGGAAGCCATGCATTGTTATTCCTGTGGTAGGGGCATAAAATCTGAGCTCACCAGGTATATGGGACTTGCCATTAGGTTCGGAATTGTAAGTGATATTGGGATTAATTTTTTGAGCTTGGGTCATCGTGGAGATCCCCATGCCAGCATGGAAGGATGGCATATCAGTATGGCTTCCTTGTACCTCAGTTCCCCTGAAATGGACCCCAGCAAACAATATCTGGACTGATCATTAAATTCTGTATGCAACTTCTTCTTATAATATGGCATACTGATGTGAATAAGACTGAAGGACAAGTCCATTTTACATTGAGATAGGAGGACCTGCAAAGAATGCTTCCAGGCTCTGAAGTGAATCCCTTTTAGCTGAAACATGAATAAATAACCAGACTAAGACAGTTCTTAAGCAGAAGCATCTAGGTTCATACCCTGTTGTAGCTGAGAAACATCCACCCCTCAGCTTGACTAGGGACGTTATATTCTACCCCCAGATGAGGAAATCTAGGTTGGTCTCATAGATCAGCAAATATCCAAAGCATACAATGTCCATAGAAAACAGGATGCCTGTACTGTGGACCATCTTTCTAACTTTCGAAACTCTGACACTGCCTCAATGGGTGAAGATTCTTTGGATGTGATATAATATTAAACCTTAAGATGAGAAAAGTTTGGACATATGTACTTCTGATATCATCTGTGCAAAGTGTGGAATGAAGCACCCTGGTGACACCATGTGCCTGGGGCCTGTCTGATGTTATCAGCTGTACTGTACCCCACATATCCAGCCTACCACACTGTTCAATATTCCTACAAGAGAACGCAATCCAAGAAATCCCTGATGAAGAGCACTTATCATTTCCAGCAGCACAGAGAAAGAACTTTGAACTGCAGCCTAAATGGAAGAGAGTAGCTTCCCCCCATGTAAATTGTTCTACCACTGCATCTGGCTCGATGATCTGTCCCAGAAGATCTTTGGGTCTCCCTCAGCTAGGTATGGTGCCCAAAATCTTGCAGAGCCACCTACCAAGATGGCAAATCCAACATACACAGAGCTCACATCTGAGCTGTGGTCCCCCAGAGTTATCTCATGAAGGTCTGGATGTGGGAACATCTGAGTGCACAGCCAACACCAGACGTTGGAAGATTCAGGAAGTCATGCTCCATGCTGTATACGTGTACAACATCGATCAGGAGAATGTAAATGGATTCTATGCTCGCATCCCTGAACTTGAAATTGTGTGGGGGATGTACTCTTCTGCCACTCGTAGATGGGCACAGATAGCCGTAGCAGCCAATGCACCTATAAGCACATTACTGCTACTTAATTTAATCAAATTTTGATGCATTTTTCTAACCGGCCACAAGCTATACAAATTTAGCAATTAGTTGAAGGTTTTCTGTATCTGCTGACTTTTGTTTACAGAGCTATGCTTGCTTGTTACTGTTTCTTGAAATAAATGTTTACAACTTTATTTTTCTGTCACAACACAACAACTAAGGAGTATCAAGGTCAATACCCAGCTATGCCTCACTACATGTTTCGGCCGTTAACGGCCATCATCAGGTGAATACAAATCAACAAACATATACTATTGAAGTGTAGTAAAATTAGATACAATGACAAAATGGTTAATACTTATGTGTAAAAATACAGCGGTCATTTATATATAAAACTGAAGATTATAATATTGTAACATGTTTAGTCACTGAAACTTGTTGGTAACATGTGTAAGTCCAATCCCACTTCTGACACCAAATTGTCACGTGTCTTGAGTTCAAAACTTGTTGGTAATGTGTGTAAGTCCAGTCCCACTTCTGAAACCAGCTGTCATGTGTTGGGTGTATAACGTGACAAATAATTTCACGCCTTATTTGATATAGCGAATTTATTCCACTCGCTCTTACAATCACACAATTTACAATCTGACAATTACTGCAATTCCAGTATCACAAATACTCCGACAAAAAATAGACAGCTATTGACTGGTTAACTGACTCACTCCTGGCTAACTCGTAACTTGTAACTGCTGCCTTGAGAACTCACTTTGGCGACTGATACACTTAACTGTCTTCGGCGACTGTGTAGTTTCCTCACAAACCCTCAGCCGGACAATGGGAAAAGTTACGTAATAGGCACCAGTGTTGTCTGATGTCGTGTTTGCCTGTTATGTAATGGGTACCGCTGTTATTATCGTCATCTCTAGCAACCACTGTTTACCCGCTTTGCTTAGCAATCAGTGTTTACTCGCTTTGCATAGCGACCATCGTGCTGGGACTTGGCTCACTTCGGCTCCGCTCGGCACATCACCGCTGGCGGGGGGGAGGTTGACCTTGGTGCAACACGTCACACTGCTCCCTCCTTACCTCCTTAAGGCTGTTCGTCCCAAATAGCCTAACGGTGCACCCCCGTTCATTTTCTTCCAAGGATGTGCTTTCTGCGTCTCCTGGTATTTCGGCTACTCCTTGCAGCGACTGTTCTCCAGCCGTTAACAACCGCTCCCCTCTTAAGACCAGCTCGTCTCTAGCGGTGTCCTGCTATGTGCCCGAAGATCCAGTTGTATTACATTCATTCATCGCTCATTCAGTCTTCATTCATTCTTGCTAGGGAGGCCGGTGCTCCTACTTTACCGGCTCCTCCTGTGTACTATTCCATTTTTTTCGTTTCAGAGGGGGTGCAACACGTCACAATATAAAACAAGATTAAAATTGATGTTTTGTAACATCTGATCAGTCGTATGTTTACTTTATACGTTCCGTGGACAAAATAAAAATTTAAGATGGTATTGGAGGCCCATGACATTGTAAGTTAATTAATCTGAAAATATATAGAAAAAGGAATAGTATTAAATATGTTATTTGAATATTTAAATTGAAGCTGTAGTATATATAATATATATACTTACAGAGCAGAGGTGCCTCATCATATGAAAGAAAATGTCCGTACTGTATGAGAAGTAAACAATGACTGATTTGTTGATGTAAAGTTAAAGTCAACTCAAGGGAAGGAAGGGGGGGATAAGGTATATGGGAAGTGAAAGTAAAGAGAGGGGGGGGAGAGTAACTGTATGTTATGTTTTGGAAGTATTGATTATAACATAATATATGGGGTTGAACATTTCCGTAAAATTGTCATTCAGTTGTAAATTTTGTTTAGTGATTTCATAAATATGAAATCTTTCGTATGTATCTAAGGTTCGGCCTTTCTTGCCGATATATAAAACTTCCAATGTTCTATCTATCGTATTATAATCATGCGTAGTATCTAAAATATGTTGTGCAAATTTAGAATTTTGTCCATTATTTTTTATATCACGTATGTGTTCTTTATTCTGATATTAAATGTACGTCTTGTTTTATATTATAACCTTCAGTTTTATATATATATGACCGCTGTATTTTTACACATAAGTATTAACCATTTTGTCATTGTATCTAGTTTTACTACAGTTCAATAGTATATGTTTGTTGATTTGTATTCACCTGATGATGGCCGTTAACGGCCGAAACATGTAGTGAGGCATAGCTGGGTATTGACCTTGATACTCCTTAGTTGTTGTGATGGAAAAATAAAGTTGTATATTGTAACACAGCAGGACGCATAAAATGAAGATAATAAATGTTTATTTTCACATGAAGTATCTGGGCCTCATATGTTATGTGTGGATAAACAAAGGAAAATTTCTTGCCTGTCAGCATTAACAATGGTAATTTTCCATTTCCATCATCAGATAAGCTTGAACATAGGCCAGTGTGTCTTTTCTCAGTTCCTTCTTCATTGTCTAATGTATTTATTTTTCTAAGATTTGCTGAGCTGTCCCATTTGGATCAGTTCTTTGCATGTTCATGCACTGAAGTTTTAACCTCTTGAATTCTGTGGCGGTTAATATTGTCCAATGTCCTGCAGTTCATGGTTAATTTTTTCACTTTCACGTACTTCTTAATGATTCAATTTATGAATGACAGATACCTTCCCGTCACAAAATAATGCTACTGAAGTATTTCCCTCCAATCACATGATTAACCAAGTCATGTGAATTATACTGAACAGTATTTTAGTCATTTCAGATGAAAGGAACACGTTGTGTTCACTTCATAGTATTAATTTAGTACCCTGGACATGTATTTTTAACAGTAAGTCTTTGTCATGAAGTGGCATGTGAGGTACATTTGTTAGCTCACATTTAGAACTCTATAAAAAGATAATGAGCTTATCTCCATGCTGAAACTTGACAGCACAGTGATATAGCAGACCATACTGACCAGTGCTGTACTGTGTCAGGTGACTGGATCCTGTGATGCATGGTAAGGTAGGAAATTTGTCGAAAATTCTACAGTGTGTCAGAAAAGAGACAGCATTAAACATCACTTTTCAGGAGAAGAAGAAATAACTTTAGGTGCTCAGGCAGTCAGTCACTTAACTCAGCATTTCATTGTCACTCAGTGGAAAGAACTGTGCTTTAGTGACATAACTTGGTTCTTGTTTGAGCCTTTGCAAGGCACTTATATCATTTGCACCAGTTTTTGATGATCCCTCTCTTCTACGAGAGCACAGAATTAAACATTATAACAATTTAAAGGTGCAAAACCTTTATTGGAGTGATGTAACATGAACAGTGCCATCCTGTTTATGTGACACTGTATGGTCCAGTAGATGCTAACATTTTTGAAGCATGTCAGTGAACTTCTACCAGACTACATGGCATCACTGCTCTGAGAACCTCAAATTCAATTTATGTACTGCGAATTACAGGTTCATGGCTTATGACTGCCTGCGAATTGGACCAGAGGATTTGCGTATTCTGGTATCCAGCGATACGGTACGAGTCTTCTCTGTTAGTGCTTCTGGCACATGCACCATTGTGGTTGAAACACATCTCAGGTACATGGTAATTTGAATCAGCAGTACAAAACTGTTGCAGAATCTGTTCAGTTTGCACGTGAATAAATGATATGGGGAAAATATTACATTAGAGAGAGCAAAAATATGTTATTATTATGTACTATTAGGCCACCAGATACAAGATGCTAGAATGCATCATTAGAATTTATTTCTAACTTAACATGTTTCAGCTCTATTTGGCCAACATCTGTTTTTTTCACATCATTGTCAAGCTATTAAAAGGATTACATTTAGTATTTAAAATGACTGTTATTGATTATTGAGGTTATCTTGATCTGTTGTGAATGGTGGTATTGTAATACTTAACAATTAATTTGTGATACATTGCTCGTGAAATCAAACAGTAAGTGGTACACTGCACTTTACTTAACCAAACTACTCATTTTTCTAATTGAGAACAAGAATTATTCTTTCTTTTTCTTTGATTTTAGAGTTTCCATACATGTAAAGTAATAGTGTGTCTTAGCACTTCACCGTGAAGGCATTTATGTCATTAGCTTAGAAATGACTTCAGGTTTTCACAGTGGTTCTGTGCTAATATAGTCTTGTTTAAGGATAATGACACCTTGCAGAAGTATGCTGTAGGGCCAACATTTTGGAGATCCATTTTGTTTTTGGGCACACAAAATTGTGTGGGGGGAGTGAATGGGTTCTTGTTCGGCTGCTTTGCAGCTTATTCATTGTTGGGTTTATGTGGGTTAATTTATTTTGTTCCGTTACTTTAGTTATTGGGTCTAAGAAGTTTTGTCTGTCAGTTTTATTTTTGCTGTTTTTTTCAGTATTTCTTGTTTTATGTGTAAGTTCTTGCGGGATTATTTAGGTCTCTTAATGGGTAATATTATTATGGTTTTTTTTAATTCGCATTATTTGGTTTTATAGATCTTGGTTTCTTGGATTTAGCAATGATTTTTAGTACTGGTTAAGTTTGTGCCAGCAGCCGTGGTTATACATTAAGTGCTATTGAATATTTTTGGTTGTGCAGTTATATTACTTCTCAGTGAAGTGACACCACATGGCCTTTGCAGATGCTTATAATACTTGTCTATCACTTGTGCATCGAGTGTTGTCCAACAGGAATGGAGCAAAACTCTATCTTGGGTGGGGAGTAAAGGATTGCAGTGCTTGAGCAATCTGTGTGATGTGGGCTGATTGGGACAGCAGTAGGGTGAATAGTAATAGGAAATTGCCCCTTGGTAGTGTATAGTGAGGCACTGACATGAAGGCTGTAGGTCCTGTATGAATATGTGGAGAAGTCCTCCATGCTCGGCTCAGGTACTTCAAGATTGAGACATTATGGACCTTCAAAATGTTGGCAACACAGCTTCGATCTAAATAGAATCATAGCTTCATACTCTGGCCAATTTTACTCCATAGTACTACTGAGTGTTAGCCTGGATGGGTTGAGAACCATTCTGGACTTAGTTCCAGAAAACTGTACCTCACTTTTAAGTTGATTGCACATTGCTTTACCATTTCGTTATAGTGTTAATACTGAGAACATGTTGCAGTGACTTGTACCACTGTCAGCCAACCAGTAGGCCTAGCGATGAACCTCAAGGCTCCAACACATCAAATGAAGTCCTACATTACATTGAACTAACAATGCGAGTGGACAGTGTTGGCTTTGAGTCCATAAGGAGACCATTAGTGCGCTGTGACAGTGAGGCAATTGCTAAATGGGTATGTTGTTAACCACTTTTAAATTATGGTTAAAATTTTTGCAGTGAAGAAATTTACTTGTCGTGTGTGTTGTGTGTGACGTAAATTGACAAGGCAACAGATTTCTATGAAGGGCATTCAGTTGGTTACATCCATAGGAGTGTTAGACATATTGTGTGTACTGTTGGGACAGATGTTTGAATTGCTCTGGTAATTTTGGGGGAAGTAAAGAATATGTCCGTTACTCCTTGTTGGTCAGGACATCTATGTGGATGTACAGAATACAAGTGTAACACACACTGGGATATTACTGAACAGTTTTGCATATCTATGCCATGTCCAGTGAAGTATGCAAAGTAGAGTCTGCTGCATTGTACATTCCCACTCTTTTCTCATACCTGCAGGTTTCCCAGCAAGTGAACTATGCAAAAGGTATGTTTGAAGAAAGGAGATACACACTCATATCAGATGCAGACAATATCTTGGAAGACTGAAGATTCAATAAGGTTCCATGAATCTGTGATAGTCATCCCTTCTTTGTATAGAGGTAACATACAAGGCAGGCTGTTTCTGTCCTTTTCTGACTTTTTCTCGTCTACACTCAAGAATACAATGTATTGTAGTGCATATTTTGTGTGTGCTATATTATTGGTTTCATGCTGTCTTCCCATTTAATTGGGTTAAAATTATATGTTACCCACATCTCACACATTATATTTAAATTCATTTCATTGCCTGCATATTCTCCTATGTATGTGAGGATGGTTCAAGATTGACCTGGACTTTTTATTTTTTATATTTGCTTTTTTACAAAAGGAATATACATGCCAGAATCCTCAAAATCTCCCTCATTTTCAAGATATTCTCCATTTACACCAACAGGGGTCTTTCATTATCTTGGCAAGTCCTTGGTGCTAGCAGTAGAGTTTCACCCTGTCTATGTATTGAGTCGAGAACACTGAATCTGAGTGAGTTTGTCAGTTTGAAATTTCTGTCCTACATGCACCTTCATTTTCCAAACACTTGAAAATCACTGAGGGCTAAGTCAAGGCTATAAGGTGGGTAGCTCATGATTTCCTGGCCCATTGTTGCCAGTGTCACCATGAAATTTTCCATGTGTGGGTGAGCATTGTCATGCAGTAGGATGATCTTCTTTGACACTTCTCCAAGTCTTATATTTTGAATTACTTTATCGATATTATTGCGAAGCAGGTTACTGTACAAGTAACACAATGCATTAACTGTTGCACCATGTTGAAGAAAACTGACATAAATCACTCCTTGAACATGCTTGCCATGATCTTGCCAGCTAACAGCTGTGTCTTGAATTTTTTAAGTAATGGAGATCCCTTGTGATGCCATCCCATGCTGGACCACTTTGACTCTCAAGTGAGGCAGGATACTCACATCTTGTCACAGGTCACTCCATACTCTAGGAACGTGTTGTCCTGCAGTTCAAACTGGTGCATGGTGCAGATGTTTGGCAGACACAGCAACACATTGAACATTAGTATATTTGTGACCCTCCAGGCACACACTACTGGATACAATATCATATACTGTAATTTGCCTGTTACCCAAAGTCAGCTCTTTATCATGGTGAATGTGCACATGGCTTACAGCTGTTGGCCAAACATGAGCATTTGGTAGGCTCAAGGCCTTTTTACGGCCTTCAGAAACCTTACTCTGCCAATCACAGACACTTGCACTTGACAGGGTCTGTTCACACAGCTCTGTTCTACACTAGGAATGACAAGGTCTGATGCCATCCTGTACTAGCTCAAATGCACAGAAGTGGGCTGCATCACCACCTGCCAGTCAGTGAGTGCACTGTTGCCACTGGTGCCTGTGTCTTCAGGAAAAAAAAAAGTCCAGGTTAACCTTGAACCACCCTTATATTTTACTGTTTGACAGTATGGGAGATATACAATTGGATAATACCTATGAACAACTATCCATGTTCTATTAAAATGTATGGCATGGTGATTTGGAAACTTAGGTAATTGATACTTACATGTTTGTTCTACCTGAAGAAAACCCAGAAATAGGGTAAAAACATCTAGTAGGTAATACTAAAACACTATTAATAGTAGATAGTTGTGGGGATTACATTGTGAGAATTATATGTATGTATGTATAGGTGTTGGTGTATATCTTACATGTTTAATATAAACATAACTGTGCTACATGTTTCGACCATATAATTAGGTCATAATCAGGCACTTATGAACATAACTCAAGTAATTACAATGTTGGTTATAACACAGATTCATATTCTTGCAACTGATGGCTGCATTGCTAGCAAATATATTGTGACATGTTGTGCAAAGGAGAACCCCCCCCCCACCAGCAGTGATGCAGCGGGTGAGTCAGCGCTCCCTTCCCCCTCCTCCGCACGGTAACGTAGCGGTGATGTCACCGAGGGATATCGCGGTTGCTAGGCAGCAGTCACCAACTCCGGACAGCGTGGCTAGCAACACGGCACCAGACGACAATTGTCCGATCGAGGCTACATGAGGAGCAGCGAAGGCTATTCACAGTCAGTCAGTCCTGGAGCTACCTCCAAGTTAGTTCCGAGTTAGCCAGCAACTAGTCAGTTGTATTCTGGCATTTGGAGTGTACTATTTGTGATACTGCAGATAGCAGTAATCGTAAATCTGTAATTTGGGTGATTGTAGGTGCGAATGTGAAATAAAATTCGCTATATAAAATACGGCGTGAAGTTATTTGTCGCGTTATACGCCCAATACGCGACAACTGGTGTCAGAAGTGGGATTTGGACTTACACACGTGACCAATGAGCTTCGAACTCAAGACACGTGACAATTTGGTGTCAGAATTTTTACGAACTTAAACACGCCAAAAATTGAATTATTGTGCATCGAGTATTCTACTGCGACAAGATGGAGATGCAGCAGATGATGGAAATGCTGGCTAGGATGGACGCNGTAGAAAAGCCCACATGGAAAAAATGGAGGCTGATAGGAAGAGAGACAAAGAAGATTTAATGGCGAAGTTAGACGCCTGGGGAGAAAAGTTGGATGCAGAGACGAAAGCAACCCAAGCAAGAACGAGAGCCATCGAAGCAAGGACGGCCGCCATGCGAGAGAAGAGGTTGCAAGCCAATATGGACGCTTGGCAGAAAGAGATGACGGAGGTACGTCTAGAAGAGGAAAAGCCGGCCCCAGTGGAATAGAAACCGGAGGCGGAA